CTGTGACAAATGAGCTAACAAGCATCATACTTGAAGCTTTCTCTGCTTGTTTCCAAGATCTCCAGAAAGGTTGGCAATTGTGTATAGATAGCCAAGAGGACTACTTTGACAGGACCTAGGTTCATTACTTGGTACTTGCAATTTTCTATTTTTTACGAGCTTCGTCCTGGAACTTTTCTGACAAAGAGTGTATACAAAGTCCATTATTTATAAAAGAAACTCAATTTGGTGAATACAATATTTTGTATTCACCAAACGAGCCACTACACTAACTAACATGTTACTACCTAACATAACTACTCAAAAATTGAAAAGGGGCAAACCAATTTTTGTTATTTAAAAAGTAATATTGAAAATGTAATGACTGGACAAAATCTTCATAATGTAAAACCCAAACAATTTAATTATTCAAATTTTAACTCTAACAAAATTTTTGTAGTCATTTATAAATGCTTTAATAAATGTTTATTAAATTATTTAACAAAAATTTCTTTAAGTAAAAATTTTAGTTTATACCAGTGGTAGTCAATCTGGTCCCTACTGCCCACTAATGGGCGATTTGAGCTTTCGTGGTGGTCGGTAGGAGTTTTGTCCGATACCAAAGCTACTTTCCCTTATCACTGCACATCTACGACTCACTGATGGCGCAGATTGTACCATAACAGTAGCCATCACTCGAGTCGAGCTCATTTAGTGACAGGGTCGTGTTGCCAGGTTTAGCCACTTTTTCAAGTTTGACGTAAAAAAAATACTTGACGCACTGGCAAAAAGTTTCTGTGTATTATAAACATATGCAAAATATAAATAATGACTAAATATTACAGCTAATGTTAACTTTACATCATATTTAAAATATAATAATAATAAATTATACAACATTTTTTTAAAAATGTAAATACCAAAGCCGAAAATTCCAATTTCGTGTTCGTACTCATGTAATCTATCATGAAGTTCAATCCGTGGATGGCCAAGTGACGCAGCTGATAGGGCTCGGTGCTGTCCGGCACGGTAATCGGCCTGGTCATGGAGAGAGAGACGTCCAAAAGAAACACGGTCGGCATTTTCTTTTACCTGAAACATTTAAAAAGTTTTACCGACCAAACTACGAGCTTAATGCGTCGTCTACATTATTTAAATACGAACCGCCCGGAAAGTCCCCGGCAACATTTTAGAGAAGGCGTCGCCGAGGTTCCGGAGAGGACGAGCGCCAAAGTGTACGACGAGACGGAGCACGGAGAACGAACGGCACACCGACACGCGTCAAAAACAAACCTTCGGAAACTAATAGTCAGCAGTGAGTCGCACATACACGTAAGGTTCCTCTAAGTTTTTTGCCAGTATACGGGAGGTCGACAATTCCGGGGATGCCGACCGGAGCTCGAATCTCACCCGTCGACATACGTACCTACCGGAGTCTCGTTAACGGAAAAATGCCGAAAAGGGTGTCAGAAAGTCGTTCGGAGAGACCGACGGTAACCCCGGCTTCTCCATCCACGTAAGGAAGGTGCAAAACCCCCGACGGTGTCCCCAGACATGGAATTTTTTTCTAGAAACATTTAAAGAACGGAAAAGGTTTATTAAAAACAGATATTGTCCGAACGTTTTCGTCCACTTAATAAGAAATTGTATAGGACGGTCGGTTCTTAGGGGGTTTCGGTGCAGCGTTCGACATCTTCGAGCTCCGTCCCGGAACTCGATAAATATTTGATAATATTGCCATTTAGCATTACAAATTCTCGGTAGCAACCGAACGATTCGCTTAATAAACGACAGTCGTCCGAAAGGTACGAAAAACGTGTCGATGGTAAACATTGAATTACACGAAACAAATCGAATTGCACATAAATTACACACACGTAATGTACCTGGCGGTTTATAATCGCTAAATACCACCGAATAAGTCGCGGTAGAACCGAACTTTACCAGAAAACTTGAAATATTTAAAAAGAAAACAAACTTTTACAGTCTGCGAATGGACGAGACAACAAACTTCTCCGTCGAACGACCACGTTCGTCGCCCCCTGGCCAGCCCGTTTGAAAACTAACGTAATAGAACCTAACACGAACGTCTAGCGACTGAGAGAGGCTCCCTCTGCCGGACAGCTTAGGAACTATGATATATTCAGAAAGTAGTTTAAATAAAGTAAAAAATAAGAACTGTCAGTTTTCGGTTTTACTGGAAGGAAAATTAAACTTTCTTTTTCAGAAGTTCTGTTACGAGTGTCAATAAAGAGACTTATTTTAAAAAATTCAACATTTATTTCACTTCGCTGCCATTTAGGTTTGAGTAATGTATTATAAAAAATTTTCGATCTTTAAATTGAAAATTTTTCACTTTCTCCGAATATGGCTGACACCAGAGTTTTGATGTTAGAAGGCGGGAAGCTGAAGACTGAGTCTGTAAAGAAATGACTGTCTATAGATTAAAACAAATGGCATTGAATCTTCTAAAATAAACGAATTTTATATCCATAAGTATCCTACGCCAGTCGCTAGAAATGGTTGCCTTACCCGAGTCGCACGGGTCTTTCGACCCAGTGTTTTTAATATAAAATTATTAAGTTTTATCTATCGCATAAAAAAAAACTACAATTTCTCCGTTAAATTCTGCACTTTGTTTTCTATCTAGAAGAATAAATTACTTGCGTATTGACAAAATTACCTTTTTAATATTTATTTTTACGTAATTTCATTTAAAAAAACGCAAAAAATAAACGTATCAAATTTCAATTCGCTGTAAGTTTTTTCACGTTTCACCGATTGTCATCGGGTTTGTTTGTAAATGGGGAAGAAAGATGACTCATTCGTGTGAAGTTAGTAGAAATTTAGTACTAATGCCGAAAGGTTTTTAATAGACCTCGCGTTACCCCCTACAGCGAGTCAATAAACGTTAAATAAGAAATGTAACTGATAACGTAAGAAATGCTTTTTTCAGATAAAACTTTATTTCTTGATTACAAACCCCGTTTTCGGTAATCTATATTTTAAAAATAAAAAACAACTTTTTTTAAAATGTCCACAAATTTTTTAAATACAAAAGATTTAAAAACGTGTTAAGAAAAATGCATTATAGAAATACCAAATATATAGAATTTTAATTTACAAAATGAAAAAAAGTTTTTTACGTTGATGTTTTAACATTCACAATTATTTTAGTAGTAGTTCTTTCTATTTCCTGTAAGCTGGAGTTTAATCTCTGATATTTTCTTTGTCTCGAAGAGAGTTCTTTTCTGGGGGTCAATTTTTTTTTTTTGTTATCTGGCACTGAAAGGGCTGAAACCAAAGAAGACTTGTCTGTTGCATCAACGGCTAAAAGCTGTGGACCCAAAGATTTTAGGGCTTTATCTACTACTTCTAGTTGGCTCTCAGACATTGATTCCAGACCCGCCCCGAGATTCCTAAAAGCTTTTCTAACATTTTCTCGCAATCTTGAAGGTGTTGAACTTGGTGTGTTTAGTTTGTCTACGAGCAATGATGACTCTTCCATTCTTTTATCTTCAAAAATAATCAATCTTTGTTCATTTTCTTCTGTACTGGATGAATTTAATAATTCATATTGCAATTCTATATTGATGTGTTGCTCATTTTCTTTATTTTCTGTTGAAAATGGTTGCAGTGCTTTAGTCTGAAGATATCTGCAAACTGCATGAATATGTTTGCATATGTTCCAATAAATTGTTGAGTCAAGACACGTACAGATGAAATAATGAATACACGCTTTACAGCAACACATACTATCTAGCACTTGCAGTCCTTAGTTATTTCTTCCACACGATAAAAATCTGTGTGATGAAGATTCCACAATCCAGCCATCTTCTTGTTCGAGGACCTGCAAACCTAAATATTCACTCAGTTTAAGGCACTTTCTTAATTATTTTAATTTACTAGTGCTTTGCCTTTGTGAAGTACTATCAATCGGTCAAAAGTTTTCTCTTACAAACTTCGTGATAACATTTATAGCCTTGTCCGGTCGTTTGACATTTTTGCCACGTAAATAAATATATTTCAAAGTCCTGCGCATTCTTTCCAAATGGCTATTTGTGTTTAGACCACTCCACTTCCCGTGACAAAAAGCCCATGAGGTGGGATTTTTCATGTATACATTCGCAAAATATGTAGCAAACTCAATGGTATCTGGGTCTTCCTTAAGTTTTCTCATGATCTCATCTGCCAAGAGATAAAAAGCATCTTGATTTCTTTCTTGAAGTAACACGTAATTTTAAGTAAGTTTCTGTTTGCTTTCCTGTGATACGAATTTTATTGAGATTTCTTCTCCACGCTCGATCTACTTGCCAGGTGCAGAAGAGTTTTAACTGAGGCCGATTCATAACTTGAATCCAAGCATTGAAAAATGCTTCGGACATGAAAACCTTTGGAGATATTATTCCAACTTTTTCTTTAATGCTTCCAAAAAATAACTCATAAACAAGTTGATCAGTCCTATTTGAAATAAGAAAGGCACGTGGGAATCCTTGTCTTATGTCATCAATTATCAATAATGTGGTTAGTTCAAAGTTCCTTGTGTTCACTCGCTCCCCTATTGTTGGTGACATCCTCTTCAGTTTTTGCGGTGGTTTCTGTCATATTAACGTAACATGCGCTCTCTTTACGAAAAATTCTTTGCTCGACTTCATTAGCCCTCTCTGCCAGTTCAGCAGCTTCATCAAACGATACGGGTTGATGGTTCGGTACTTCACGACGTAAACGAATATCTAGCCCCCTAATAAATTGATCCAGAAATAGTTGTCCTTTGTTAGGTTCAAGATGTGAATTAGCCTCGATCGCTTGGTCAACCGCTTCGCATAGGCGAACGCGAACTCCCGTAATCTTTCCGTTGCCTAATACCTGTATATTGTCTTAAAGCCTCTCCGCTATCCTTCACGCATTGTTGAAATTTCCTAATGATTCCTTCCTTTATTTTATCATAGTCTTCTTCATACATAGCCCGGGCCTCATTAAGAAAAGTTAGGGGTTTCCCTTTTAACCTAGCACTGGCTATTGTAAGGTAATCCGACTTTCTCCATGCGGCTAGCTTAGCAACGTCCTCAAATTGTAAAAAAAAAAAAAAAAAACTCTCTACTCGAAATCATGTCTGATGGTGTCCCTGCGTATGTGGGGACCATTCCGAGGTACCCGACAATTAATGGTGGACACATCGCCGACTGTTCTGCTGAACTAACCTGGGTTTCGGATTCCATTTTCGTTGAGTGCGTTTTCACAATCTGAACTATTATAACTTGACGTGAAAATGGAGTCTCGAGAGCAAATCCTGTCGCGGACGCCAATTATGTGGGGAAGTACTCGATCTTTAGCGTGTTCCCCGTGCAGGAACAAAACAAAAATAAACCTCAAAGAAATAAATCGCACACTCTATGACTCCAATGCAAGGAACTTAAAGTTTATTTTAGTCCTTCCGATTACTTCTGTCCTTTCGCTATAACAGACACTAAAACAAAGGACACAACACACAAATAAGAACAAACTCGCGACTCTCTCGTCTACACGTCTTCTCTATTATTTCTTTTTTCCGTAAAAGTCCCGCTTCTTCCGTTGAGCACGCGTTGAGGATCTCCCTCTCTCCCTCCGGATTTTTCGGTTGTAATCGAGAACGCCCATCCCTTCTTTATCCTCTGGCCCACCCGAGGAGCCGGTTGCGCAATAGAACACGTGGTCTTCGGACCACATTTACTTTAAACTTTTGTTCAGGTTCGTGTCTAATACTTGGTTTGTTTTTTAGCCACCTAGGTGGGATTCTGGGTTAAGAAGTGGTCAGAGCCTACCTCGAAACCTCTGTATGATCTAACTTTGACATTTTACCATTAGCAATAAAATAATCAATGATTAATTTGGACTGCTGTCGTTGCCAAGTATATTTATGTATATTTTTACAATTATAAAACGTCTTTATTATTTTAAGATTATAAACAACAAGATCAACGAGTCTAATACTATTTCTATTGAAAGTATTATCTCCGAAGGTTCCAATGTTTTTATTGACCGGAGTATTCCCCACCCTCGCATTCAGATCTCCTACTGTTATGGTGTAATCGTTCTTGTTAATTTTATTAAGAATGTCTTGCAGCATTATATAAAATTCCTCGTTTTCTTGTTCTCGGCCCTCTTTCGGGAGCATATATGCCAATAATGGTTAAATTACTCCTAATAATTTATAGCCCTCTTGCTCTCACAGGGAGGAAAGAGCAGAATAATGAAAAAGCTAGAATACTTTACTGTTTTATAAATGTTAGATAGATTATAAATTAGACCAAAAAGTAATGTAAGATAAATATCCGTTAACCCGCTTCCGAGGACCATTCTAATTGACTCGATTTCACAGTTAGAATCCTAATTGAAGAGCTTATTTCGAAAGTGACGTATCTCCGGGAAATACAAACTTTAAGTAATTGCTTTAAATGTTAAAGTAAAAACTTAATTTTTGGTACGGATCTTTATTTTTATAGGTTTAATAGTAAAAAAAATCCTGGGGCAGAGGAAATGATCGTTTTGGTACTTCAAATCGTGAACTTACACCACTTTGGAACAAAATTGCAGCATTTAAATGGATAATGTAATAAAAACAACAAATAAATGGTCGAAAACTTTTAATATACTGTACAAAAGCAAAAAAGAATATACAAAATAAGATACAAAACAAAAATGAAAATTACACGAACCTTATTGTTAATTGTCTACTTGGACATTATTTATTAATAGGACTTATTACTGGTGTTTAAAGATTTTAGCTTATACAATAACTTATCTTGTTTACTATTGTTACTTTTTAGTGTGTGGTAGTAGTACTGCTGATGAGGGGCATGCTAGCCCGAAACACGTGTAATATGTGTACAGAAACTATTACTATAGGTAATATAATAAAGAAATTTTGCTCTTTCCTGAACTAACTCTCATTGCTATGTCAATCTTTAAACACCAGTATTAAGTCCTATTAATAAATAATGTCCAAGTAGACAATTAACAATAATATTAGAATTTAAAAAGGACAGTAAGGCTTTTACAATTACACGAACCTTGTTCATATGACTGAAGATGATAAAAAACGGCGTTTAAAAAACTATACTAACTTCAAAAGAAAGAAAAAACTTAACGATTACATAAAATTAATAAAAATCATATTGTAACCTATTTAGAATCGATCCCTTTCTAAACAAGACGACACTTTTTGTAAAAGGTCATTCCCAGTTTATTTAAAAGTTTCTTCACGTCGTCTATCTTTTCCAGCTTAAGTTTATTCTCGAAGGGTAGCAAATCAACTGATAGATATGACCATTTTTTACCTCTTTTTAACATTGTATATTTGAACATCCCCGATAATCGGAATAGTGCCGTTTGCAACAAACATACTTAAAGTTTATTCCGGTTACTTTCATTTCAGATAGTTTAAAATCCATTTTTTGACTTAATGCGCGAATGAATTGCGAGTTTCCAATTACCAAGTTGCCAGTCTTTACCAAGAACAGTACTTGTCCTATACGCTCAAAAATTTTATTGTAGTCTTCTGGTAAAAGAAGCAGTTCAGTGTTTCTTAACACCCTTCCAAAAACCCTATCCGTGGGTAAATAACTGGCCCCCGCACAGGATATGTAATCTCAAAAATTACACTATATATATATATATCTGAAAGTTTACTTAGCATTACTAATAATGTGTAATTTTTGTTTTGTGCACCGTGCATCCATCACAAAACAAATTCATTTTCTCGATTTTTGGATTTTTCTTACAAAAATTTCTACAAAATAAGGACGCGACCTCTTTCTAGTATATCGACTAAATATTTTTTGAACTTCTCCAGTAAATGTGGTCATTATTAAGAAAACAATCGAACGCAATAGCACTGGCACTTCAGAAAGCAGTCGTTGCTGCCGAATAGTCACGTGACCAATATACACTTTGTAATTAGCTCTTATGGAAATGCGACAGATTGGAAATAAAACAAAACGAAAAACGTCACATTTGAAAAGAAAATCAATTTTTTGATACATTTTTCAACAGAAAAAAACACCAGTTTTGGAAAAAAAAGCATTGTAGCACTATAGAGAAGCGTATTATCAATGCGTTGGTGCCGTGAACTAAAAACATAAAACAAAAAAATGGAGATACGTCACTTTGAAAATAAGCTGTTCAATTATGGACGGTTGGATGGTGGAGTGGTCGAGGTGGGATCCGGGATCGGATGCGAACGGGTAGAAAAATCTCCAGGAATTTTTCGGGGTTGGTCCGTCCGGATACGTCGGATCCCGCCCCATTGCGGGCCTGGTCGAATCTATAACGGGCTGGCTAGGCTAAAAAGAGGCTCTCTTAGTGCCCGCAGGGTGGAGTTAAAAACAATTCTAATCGTTCATTTTAAAAGTACAATATTCCATTTACAGATATCCTATCTTAATATATCATCAATGCATTAGATTGTACGACCTTATTTAAACTTTTCGTCCTATGGTCACCGAGAGGGCCTCTTTCCCCACGCGCACAGGATCTACCACGGCCAGGCGCGCGATGAAAAATTGCGCCCGACATATTAGGGACGAATTGCGCACAAAAACTTCCCGGGCACGGATTAGATGCCTCCATTGCCTGTAAGATTCAATCATTTAAATATTTGTACCGTTTAATAAACATAGATTAGATCACAGTAAACAGATTCATTGCACCCAATTCAAATTGGCCACTCGCCACCGGAGCAGCGGCACAATCGACGTCGACGTATTTTTGGTGGACGATCCTTGGGAAAATTTCGTAGGTTATTACAAACGCCGCATGGGTGCCCGCCGACGGAAAGAGCTCGAAAAGACAGAAGAAACCGATATTACCGTGTAGAAGAAAAACGTAAAAATAGGATTTGGACGGACGAAAGCGATTTAAAAAATTAAAAACAATTTTTATTAAGCCATGCCCAAATCGGTAAAAATAAAAAAAGAAAATGACGGGGAAGGTCAGTTGTCTTCTTCGTCTCCTCTGGGAACGAACCTCAGAGGATAGATCAGCTGATTTCCTTTGTCCCACGTGTAAATGACCTCGCTGTTAGGGTTGTAGGAAATCATGATGTTCTGACGAAAGGGATTGGTAAAATCCAGATTCACTTCCACCGATCTGTTTTTATACAGATCGAAAGCGGACGATATTCTGGTGTTTCGCTCGGTCACGCTCTGCACCACGTATAGCACGCCGCACACCACGAACATCTCGCCCACGTTCCTGTGATTGAGAGTCAGATTCCATACGAATTCCGTCTGAAGTTTATAAGGATGGAACTTCATGACCATGGTGTTGTTGTTTACGGGATTGGCGTAGACGATCCACAGTCCGTTTTCGTCCGCCGCCAGGTCCACGTAGTTGTAGCGCGTGTTGTACAGATAGCGAGAGTCGCGGTAGGGGGCGTCGGGAATGACCAGGGCTCCCGTGGTCTCCGTGGCCATCTCGAAACGCACGATCTTGTTGGTGCCCTCCTGCTGATAATAGAAAGACCCGTTGTAGATGACGTGGCCGCTGCCCGTGAAAGCGTAGGGCAGCGAATATTTTCGGCTGTATCCGTCTTTCTTGGCGTCGTCCTTCCGGTCGTACTCGTACAGAGACGTTTTCTCGTTGTCCAAAGTCACCCAAAACTTTTCGTTCTGTTCCGTGTACAGAGGCGACGTGTCTTGCATCCAAGTTCCGTATTCTATTTTGGTCGAGCGGAAGAACACGGGTTTTCCCACTTGGCTCAAGATGCAGTCTTGGAGAGAACGAACCGTTAAAAATCACCCGAGTTAAAAAATCACTTATCGTTTACCGAAATGTCGGATAATTCTCACCTTCGGTCCGAGCTGGCAGCGACCTCCACAGAGTCTCGTTGACGGGTCCCACGTTGATCACGTGTCCGGGATCGGGGTGCCCCGCTGTAAAGCGAAATAAAAACGGTTACGTAAGGGTGGCGATGGGTGGGTTTTGCCTAAAAGAAAACGGACCTTGATCCGGCGACGGACAGCTGTGGGTGATGGGACACTGCGGACAGGGAAGACATTCGGTTTCCACGGCGGGGGGAGGCGGAGCTGCCACGAGATTCGAGTGAGACGGTTGGGTAGAACGGAGAGAGAAAGCCACGCGAATACTCACCTTGTCCGTAGACGATGAAAGTGGGTTCTTTCGGCGGCTTCCTGGTGGGGATGGACGGGTCGATTTCTAAATTTAAAATTCGAACGGGTTATTATCGTCTCCCGGGCTAAAAGTTGAAGAATGGCGACGGACGGGATAGGCGCAAACAGACGGAAAAACGGCACTCACCGAAGACGGTGAAAACGCCGTGCGTCTTCCCCTTGTAGTTTTTGCTGACGCATTTGTAAAGTCCGTAATCGGAAGGTTCGATGTAGGTGACGTTGAGGGTCATGGTGGTGCGATAACCCTCTTCCTTGTGGCTTATTTTGTACTTCCAGTTGGGGTTCAGCAGCCTGCTTTCTCCGTACAACCAATAGTTGACGCCGGTGGGATAAGCCTCCACGTAACATTCTAAGACGGCGTAACTTCCGTTTCTGGTTCCTACCATTTGATTCTGAATCTTGATCAGAGGAGGAACTGAAGCGAGTTAAACCGGACATTTCGGCCATTCCGATAAAATCGTCGGGTAAGAAAAATTGAAAAACGAAGGGAGTCAGAGTTTAATGAAACCTCGGAGCGATAATATTGTCCGGTCCTATTTAAACGAAAGAAAGTTGGAAAAAGTAAATAACGACTCACAGTTTATTTCCAGTTTGATTTCTTTGTAGGCGGGAGGAGGAACTCCGTTAGAGGCGATGCAGACGTAAGTGCCCATCTGGTCTCGGTTGACACGAGTCAAGTTGAGGCGATTTCCCTCCACCGACGACACTGCAAAGGAAGAAGGGGACGGGTAGGACGTGGCCGCATTCCTCTCCGATCGAGTCTACTCACGTCTCCAAGAGTCCAGAGCGATGGTGGAGTTGTTGGTCACTCGCCACGAGTAACCGGGGACGGGAATTCCGGTGGCCGAACATTTCAGCGCAACGTTTTCTCCCTCCTGGACGCTGACGGTGGTCTGCTGCTGCACGTCCACGATGGACGGAGGAACTAAACCCGAGAAAAGACTAATTGCGACTGCGGACCTTCGAATTAAAGATAAAAGCGCTTCTTACCCAGCAATTTGGTGGCTTCCGTGCCGTTAACGGTCCAGGCCTTGATTCCGGGTACCCCTGAAACCGGACCCACGAACGATAAACAAAACGCCTAGGTCGCGCCACTTTCCTCCCAGCCCTTACTTACCCGGGGTTCCGGCTTTTCCGGGAACACCCTTCCGTCCTCTGGCTCCGGGAAGTCCTGAAAAACCCAAGACATTTTTCTGTCAGCGCACTACGTGTCGGTTTTATTTATTACTAAAAGAAGACCCGTTCTTTTATTTATAGAAACCGTCCGCGCCCGAGCAAACGTAGGGTCGACCGATTATCGTATCGACGAAGAGATCGCTCCGCTCCACTCTACGCGACGGAAACTTAAAATCGCTCGAAGGCGAAACAAAGTTACTCCCGCCATTTGGGATTACGTCCCGGAGAAACTCGCTAAACTCGAAAGATCGACGCTATTAAATTTTGGCGATTAAACGCGAGCTCGTCTTTGGTACGCGCGAGGCCCCGGGCCAAGAAAAGCTCGGAGGCCCCCTTAAGGAATTCGTAATGGAGGTTAATGTTCATAAATTTTTTCAATTAGCTTTCTCCGCCGAACATTTTTCATTTCACGTATGTTCTATATAATCTTTAATCTCGCGCGTCTAATAAAGGCGAGTTTGCGCATTTACGCGACAGATTCGCGAGTTCAATTACGCCGGGTATCCCGAGGAGAGCGACAGAGAACGACGTACAACTTCTATCTTCGTCGACCAGCAAAGTACGAAATCCACCAATGTTAAAAGTCGTCTTACTAGATCAGCCAATAAAAAAGAAACCTTTTTCATATTTCGCGGGTCACGAGTTAGTCACCGATGGGTGCGCGGCGTGTCCGAACTCGCATTACGCGTAACAACCGAAACGAAAGACATTTTTCTACAATAGGAGCTCGTGTTTTCGTAATAATCTTACTTTTGCGGCGTCGATAAAAATCCGACAAAGTACTTTTATACGAGATATCGTTTAATGTTTAATTAACTGGTAAACGCGTTCATTGGAGTGGCGAAAGCGGCAGAAGAATCAATAAAATATCTAAGTTGCCAAAAATAATATCGTTTCTGGAATCGCGTAGCGAACCGGAATAGATTCTTCAGTTATATCGATTCGACAAAAACGGTATCTATGTAAATAATATTAAAAAACGATTAAGTAAAAGAAAAATAATGTCTTTTTAAGCAGGCGGAAGAACGACTCGACACGTACAGTACGTGTATACATTTTTCTATAGAAACCGTTTAGATACTTCGCCGACGGTTTAAATACAAGTCGAGAAAAGCACCGAGTTCTATGCAAGCACAAATTACCATTCGATTACAAACTGGATCGCGTCTAGAGGCATTTATTATTTAAGAAAACGTATAACTTAAACGTAAATATATAGACCTATATTTTTTTTATTGGCGAAAAACCAAGTCGTGTAGATATAGAGAGAAATCTTTACTAGTTTACTATTAAGTAAAGCGCTAGCTAAAATCAAAACGTTAAAAAATACATTTATATATATCTCCTTTTAGAGGAGATAATCGATCGCTCGGATCTACTAACAACCAAGATTATTTAGGTATTGTAGAACTTTTAAGCGAATACGATCCTGTCTTAAAAAATTATGGTAACAAAAAACGAGGTACATCTTATTTATCCGCCAACATCCGCGAAGAAATAATAGAATTAATCGCGAAAAAATGTTTTCCTTCGTCATCGAAGAGTTACGGCAATCAAAATACTATTCTACGTGTCGATTCTACACCGAATGTTTCTCGCACCAATCAATTAGCGTTTGTAGTCGAGGCCCGATCGAACGTTTTTTGAAATTTATTCCTATCGAAGAGGAGAATTTGCGAGGGAGACGAGCCGGGCCGCCTTTATACGTAATCGTAAACGGTTTTAAGGTAACGAAAATAACCGGCGGCAGTCTTTGCTTTGTTATTACAGACGAAGAAAGGATTACCTGTGGGTCCGGCCGGTCCGACCGGTCCTCTGGGTCCGGGAGAGCCGGGGATTCCTGCAACGGGAGGGGAAAATCGGGTGAGAGGAAAGGAAAGGAGAGGAGGAGGAGAAAAAGATTCTCACCGTTGGTGCCGTTGAGTCCGGGTCTCCCCGGGGTGCCGGGTATTCCCGGAATGCCGTCTCTGCCGGGAATTCCGTCCACTCCGTCTCTTCCCGGCACTCCGTCCAGACCGGGCACTCCCGGAAGTCCGTCCCTCCCGTCCAGACCCGGGGTGCCCGGAATTCCCGGTTCTCCTGTCGATCAAAAATCAATTAGAAGGGCCCGGGTGGCAGGTTTTCCCACCCGGCGAAAATCCGACTTCGTTTCGGTCCGCGGCCGCGATCTTCCGGTGGTCGGCGACGAGAAGAAAACGGACAAAGTCGGAGGACGACAGATACCCCCGCCCTCTACGTTTTCCTTCCGTCGGGCCAACCTCTCGTTCCCTAGCGTTTCCGCTCTCGCATCCCGGTTCGGAGGCGGAGAGGATTACGTCTTGAAATTTCGCCCCCTTTTTTCCCTAGCCACGGGAAATCGACTTTCTCCTTAGGCTCGGTAAGTACGAGGTCGACCACCCCGGGTTAATTAAGGAAACGACGCCGGAGCCGATAACCGAGCTCGGAAATGAATGTTCGTCCCTCTCTCTTCCGGTCGACCGGACCACGGACTCGAATCGAAACTCCTCGGCAAGAGGAGGAAAACGCCGACCGAAGGATAATCGACGCGTTCGTTCACTTCCCAGTTAACGGCAATTAACGAACGGGCATCCTTTAATTGGGTTCGGGGTAGGACCCAATTAAAGTCTGGATGAAGAGGTCGACCGTCGACGCCGGAAACACAGTTTTTCGATATTGACGCAAGCATTTTACAATTACAAGAATTCCGTTCGTTTCCGTAGCCGGGGGGAAAGATCCTCCCCCCGCAGACTTCTGGCCAAAACCGATAAATCGAGAAACCGGCGTTAACCCGCTTTTGGCGTCGTTTACCGACGCCGGTGAAAAAACCAAAAGGATAAATACCTTTGGGCCCCAGGGGCCCGGGTCCGCCCGGCTGTCCGGCCATTCCTCGGGGTCCGGGGTCTCCGGGAAGTCCTCTGTCTCCTCGGTCGCCCTTCTCTCCCACTCGACCCGGCGTTCCTGCGGACGGGGAGGTCAGGGAGGGCGGAGGGCGCCGACCGCCCTCCCCGCTACTTACCCGCGATGCCCGGAGGTCCGGGATCTCCCGGAGGACAGAACTCCTTGGTGGAGAAGCAGAACTCTTGAAGAACGGCCAGCTGGGGACGAGAGGCGCGGTCAGAGACCGGGCGGGAGGCCCAGGGGAGGGGCCCGCCGCCCCGGCCCCCGGCCACTCACCGGGATCCTGGAGTAAGAGGTCAGCCAGACGTATCCGTCGGCCTCGTCGGTGGGCTGCGGCTTGGGGAAGAATTCCACGCTGGGCTCGTTCTCCTCGGTGACGTACTGTCGTCCGTTTCTCTTGGTCCGGCGGGCCGGCGCCTCCCCTTCCGGAGGGGGAGGGCGAAAGCCTCCTTCTCGGGCGGGCCCTTCCCCCGCCCAGCGCAGCGTCAGGTAGAAGTCCAGGGCCAGGACGGCGCCCAGCAGCGCCAGCAGAGAGTAGACCAGCCTCAGATGCCGATAGACGCCGGTCGCCATTTCCACCCTTGTGACGGCCGTCCGCGGCCCGACCTTGGACCCCATTATCCCTTTAATTGGACCGTCCGGGCCTCCTTCCCGTCTCTCTTGACGGAAGCTCCGGCCGTTCCTCCGACCCGCAGTTTTCCGGTTTGCCGTCCGTCCGTCCGAAGGGGAACGCTCGAGACGCGTAGTTTCCGGCAGCTCGCGGCCTACGAGTCGAACTCGGACTCTTCCGGACGGGGATGAACGACCGTCGACCCCATCGGTTAATTCGTCTACAATTAAGAAAAGGTTAATTTTCGCCTAACGGCGGTGGGGAAGATTCGGGGATACGGGGAAAAATTCGGTAGGAAAGAATTCCCCGGGTTAGAATTATTCGGCGGCGCCGAGAACGAAGAAATAGCGGATAAAAGTTTACATTTTATTTTTCCAAGTTACAAATATTTAACATTCTTTACAATTAGGTTAGAAGAAGTGGGGAAAGACCTCAGAGAGGGGCGCAGATTTTCATCAGACTTCGGGGATTGTAACCGCTGAGGAATTTTAATTCTTTCCTTCCCGTTTCGCCGCGACCTGGGAAAAAACAAAGCATAAGTTACCTCGGTGGTTTATTCCTTAATCTCGGGTGGGATCCCGAAGCTAATTTGCGCGTCGCTCCGAACTACGTAAGAATTAAACCCACCGCGTTCATTTTGGATCCACATTCTGTCCACGTAATAGTCCAGGCAGCTGTCTATTTCCTTTTCCGTGTAATTTTCCACCAAAATCGGAACGAACGGATCCAAACATTCGAATCCCTGGAACATTTTAAAAATCGTCTTATTAATAAGACCGGGTTTCGGCGCTAGACGGCAATCCGCACGTTTAGCGCCGCTCCGGGCTAACGTCCAAAAAACTGAGAGACGAGATATAAAAATTTCGCCAGTTTACCAGTAACCGCCCGTCCGGAAGTAGCGGCTGTATCCCTCGTGCCGACAGAAATTAGGACGGAAAGCATTTACGTAAGAAAGTGGTGTAAGTGGTTTCCATCCTAATTTCTGTCGGCACGGAAGTTTAATGGCCGGAGACTTTCCTAGTAGCATTACGGGTCGGCGAGGCAAACGCGATCGTCGCCGCTAATTACTATTAATAAGTAATAACAGTTCTCGAAATTAGGCGCCTGTTTTTAAGGTCCCGGTCGTTCTTCCCGCTAACCCCACTCCTATTTACTCGCTGCCCCGGATGTAACGGGACGGTCGTTACGGACACGAGCTCGTCCCCGAAATAAAATACCACCGAAGAATATCGCTTTATATGTTTAATACGCGGGTATCCGACCTTTATCCCCATCGGTCCCGGTTCCATTTATATAATTGTTTTTTTCCGTCCGGCACTCGAAATATAACAAACTGACGGACGAGCCCGGCGTTGCCGGGCAAAAAGAAACGACGGCGAAGATTAAGATTATTAGATTCTTTCGTACTTCTAATCCCTCTGTTATATTATAGTATTTGGCTTATACGGGGTGTTCGGTAAGTCACCGCGCACTTTTCTAATCGTATTTTCGCATTATCTCGAAAAACGCGTGGCCAAATCTAAATACGTCAGACTTTAATCCGCAGTGTATCGAGACGAATCCGAAACGGCGATAACGGCATTCGTTCGATCTTTCGAGCCAGCGAAGGATAGCGGTGTTTAGAAAGAAAATAAGAAAAGGAAGTCATTTTCGACATTGTTCATAATTGTCATTCGCATTTACCTCCTGTATTCTATATCGAAACTTGTCCGTTAATAAAGATATAAGTGTACGGCGACTTTCCTAACATCCCGTATAACTACAAAGGTTATCTTACCTAAGGGTTTATCGCACCCGGTGACCAATCTAACACATTTTAAAAATTCTTTAAATTCTGTACAGAAGAGGAATAAAAAATTTTTAAATGCGTTAGAGTGGTCACCGGGTGCGACGAATCCTTACGTAAGATAACCTTTGTACCTTTAAAAATCAAATACTACGGATATAGCAAAGATTAAAACGAAAACCATATAACGAGTTTGATTATTTCAGCATATCGTTGTCGATATTCGGACGGTACGTAAGAGCGCAATTTCGTTAGTCAAATAGATAGGAATTGAAAATATATCTTAAACTAGCTGTTACCCGCGACTTCGTCAGCGGAGGTTTTGCAAGCAAACCCCATTTACATCCAATATTTCAATAACCATAGTAATTGTTATATAACACCTACCGCTGAAGAGAATTGCCGAAAATCAAACGAACTATTTTCAATTTGATCAATTTTCTGAAACGTTTACAATCGTTCTATAATCGAACCAATACGCAATAACAAATTCGAATTTAAAACAGTTCGAACATTTTTAAAATTGAAATATATAAAAATATTTAAACAATGTCTGAAATGTGATCAATTTAATACACCTAAGTACTCGATGAAGACTAAACGTAGTTGAAAACAAAAAAT